CAACAAACAATGGTCGGCGGCTTGATCCGAACCTAGCTCATTATGACCCATTTCCCTCTCCATTCTACCTCGCATACTGAAGATCGGCATTTGCCGCCAACTGATGACGGAGTTTGAATGCAGAAACATTTTCAACACAGGGTGGTCCAGAGGCCGTATCATATCCGTAGTATCTTAATATATTAATATCATATCAGTGCGTATTATATTATTGGACAGCACTAATGCTTACGTGTTGGTCTCCGCCCATTTCTTTTGTTTATTCAAGCTTGTAGCCTCAGTCGTTTCACTCTACGCAGTGCGGCTGAGGTATGTTCTTTATTTTACTTACATCTACCTGTACTTATTTATTCTAGACGCATATCTGCGTGTTTCTTAGATCGTACCTCTGATACTGTACTAAAACGTTCAATTCGACAGTCACGCGTCACTGGGGGGGCTGTCGATTGCCAACTTTGGTGCTTGTCACGCATCACCCCGAGGACTGTCGAATAGATTTTCCGGTTCGTCACCCCAAAATCCCCAAATTTCGCGATTTCGACGAATTTTCGGCTCGGATTGTCGAAATTTTGCGCTCGGTCACGCCAAAAAATGCGGTTTGTCGAATTGTCGAACCGGAATTTTCCGTCACGCGTCACCCCCTCTGTCGAACTGAACGTTTTAGTACAGTATATCATTGCAGATTATTTGTGGTGATTTACCAAAGGCCTGTAAATCAGCCGTAAAACAGTGGCTGTGCTCGGCACGCGCCGGATTCCCCACGCACACCGGGAAAGCTACAGCGCCGACTACGACAGCCGAATTGGCCTCAAAAATCGTGAAACATTGCTGCAGTGGAGAGAAGTTGCATCTAGTCGAAAAATATCTCAAATCAAGTCCGCCGCCGCCACCGCGCTGTGTTTACTTGGTTTTTACTCACTGTTAGACGTCCACACGAGCGCACGCGCAGCTTTTCGACTTTGACGCGTTAGAACGCAACCCCGGACGTCGTTTAAGAAAGACGCGGCGGCACTCCGCGCCGCGAGCTCGCGTCGGCAGATACAGAGAGAGTTCCCGCCGAGCACTGAGCTCCGCGTATCGCGTTTATGAAGCGCGAATCTTGAAAAAACTAGCGCGCAGTAGCGGCACGTCGTGCTAAAAACGTTCCCCTGCACGCACCCGGCGGGCCGCGCAGCGGCATGCCCTGTTAATAAAGATTCGAGGTCCGCAAAGCCTCCCTGGCGCGAATTTGACACCCCACGACGCGCGCCGGGTGCTGCGCTGTTTTACTCGATGTTCGAGGTCCAAAGAACCTCCCCCCTTGTGTGTCCACTACCTGCGACGCACGGTAATCGCCGCGGCATTTTTATTCCACGTTCGGCGGCCCCACATCCACTCCGCAACGACTCCTTCAGGTCTCACGCTCTCCCGACGCGACGGAGGGCTCCCGCGCCCTTGATTTCCACGTTCGACGTCCAGCAACCACCTCTCATAATTTCTTTGGGCTCTCCGCGCGTCTCAGCGCCTCTGCGCACTTTTATATTCAAGATTTCGGAGTACCGTGCACTCTTGCATACACCACGACGCGGAGGCGGCGTGGAGCGCAGCCGCAGATATTTGACTCGAATGCGACCGCCTGCGCGGCCAATGTCTGAGATAGAGGTAAAAATCTTCCCTCAAGATGTTGAATCATCGGAGTGAGCCTAATATATCAACATAGACGTTAGATGCCGCTCATTAGCAGAGGAAGTGGTAGCAGCGGCTTGCTCCCGCCGTGGGGGCTCGTATAATTTATTCCAGACGTAGAGGGAATATCTCCTACTTATTTGAGTATTTTAGAGAAGCAAAATTGGGTCAGAGAACAATGTGAAATCGAGATTTCACGATGGAGGATTAAAATACCCCCATCACATAGTTATCTCCCAAAAAAGTTGTCTCCCCTTTATTTGAGCTGATTTGACCGAGATGTCGCGAAGTTTCAAGGCAGGGGTAAAAGTGCACTGTGATCGCACTTCATTACTGCTTAATCCACCCTAAATAATGTTCCAGCACCCCCATAATATATCAGACGCCTTCTTATAGCATACTACATGTTGTTACATTTTTTGTGGCACGGACCGAGCGCGTGAGCCTGTGATATCGATGCGTTTGTACGGGCGGGGGCGAGTCACGTGGCCCAAATTTACGGTAAATCAAGATCGATTTACCGTAAAATGATCGAAATTAAGTGCTTAATGCGCTTAATTGCACTTATTGCGCGGTTTTTGGCGTGAAATAAACGGAATCTCTACGGGAAGGGCCCATTTATCTGCGAGAATGTGATCTACCGGTCGAAATGCATTTACTCAGGACATATCCGGGCCCATTGGATGCTCCATGGACCGCCTTGTTCAGTGTACGCATCAATTGCGGAATGATCTAGTAACGAATTCCACGCAGAGGACCTTTTAGACAAGGGCGCTACCGCAGGAAACCCATTTGCAACGCTGGTACACAATCAAACCCAATAATAGGTCTTTTCGAGCGGGGAATGAAGTATGTAGGGTGTTTGGAGGAGTACATGTAGCGAAATATGCAGGCACAAAAATTATGAGGGATCTGACTATATTGGAGGTGCATGCACACTCAAATCTTTCCCTTTCCAACTCGCTTCTGAGGAGCTACTGCTATTCTTTCGGCCGGAACGCGCATGGTTGAATTTCAACCGAAGTGAACCCGGCGGATTTTTTCCCACGTGGCAGGGCTGCGGCGGATCAAAGCACGTGATGTGAAATCCCCGTAAAACGAAGAACATGTTAACTCATTATCCATACCCCCCCCCATCGCCGGCGGCAATTTCCATCTGAGCTAGATTGACGGTGAAGTCGTCTACATTGCTTGACTGTTTCCGTACTGCCCGATCCTTCCCTTTGCCTTCCACCGGACCCGGACCATCGACGAGGACTACGGGTGTTACAGGCCCCGGGAAGCTCCCCATAAGGTAGGTCCGCGCAAAACTGCCAAAATGGCCCTCAAATCCGCCATTTTTGGGGCAGATTCGAGCCACAAATCCGCTATAGCGGACAGGGGGTGTCACTGTCACATAACACGTGAGTGTGACATTTTTCTAATCGGGATGAAAATACGAAAAAAAAATCGCAAAAAAATAATGCTTCGTCCCTATGCCCGTCCCCGCTACGAGGAGCTGTATCCTCAGGGCAGGAAAAAACATCAAATATTGACACAGATATCCTAGCCAACATATACAAATAAGTGCTGAATCAATGCTGAATAGCCATTCTCCGCCTGAAATCCGCTATCTGCGGACTGGATTTTCAAAATTTGGCTCTCAAATCCGCTATTTTGGGACTCGAAAATCGAGATTTTTCGCTCTGAAATCCGCTATTTTCGGACCTACCCTATAGGGAGCTTCCCGGGGCCTGGTGTTACCCATCGAAGGCGTGGAGATCGCGCGGTCCATATTCATGGGCACGAGATTAGTTAAGTACTTGGTACTCACTGGATGAGGGATCTTGGGCGGTAGTGAATTGGTCTGTAGTCATTGCGATGGCAGAAGGGTGCGAGAGTGGACTGAGTTCAGAGGGCGGCCTGTTGATCGTGGCATGAGGGCTATTCGGCGCGCGCGCGGTTCTTTTAAGGCGGTTATCGGGGGATTGAGCGTAATCTGTGAGAGTAACAGATCTAGCGCGTAGTTTCCTAATAAAATGCCCAGAGTTGCCCAGATTTGCACAATTAATAGACATTCTTGTATTGATTCTACGATTTGGCCCCATAAGGTGTCCCTTTGCAGAAAAGAAGTGGGCGTTCCGTAAAGCGGGGGACCTGAAAGTTTATTGTCAGGCGGCGGCGGTTCCAATTCTCCTGAATGATGCGCTTTAGCTGGCAGCGTGTCCATTGGTGGGTCAAAGCTGCCTTGAGAGTCAAGCTGTAGGATAGACAAAACCACTAACCCTAACTGCTAACCTCTGACCATTAGCCACTAACCTAACCCGAACTTAACCAGCCGACCCTCGGTACACCACTGATTCTGTGATGTGCCGACAGACATGCGGTCCGTTGATCCAGGGAAAGTGACGAACCTTCGTCGAAATTCCTTGAACTCACGAACTTTCATAGAATGCCATCAAGCTGATGAAGTTAAACGAAGTAACGAAGTGACGAAGATGACGCGGACTCCACTTTTGCTCTATCCATTACTCCACAATTCTGCTTCGGATGATAGTAAATTTGACGGGGGTGGTGGGGAATAGCTATTAGCATATTTCAAAGCAACTTCCAGATTTTATTGCGCAGTTTTGGCGCCGTTGCAGGAGATGAAACAAGAGGTAACTTAACAACACCTTAAAAGGCTCGTCCATAGCTCCAAAATACCTCCAAAAATGTGATACTTCCGCTATGCATAGCCAATCATGTATATTTATTAATGGCTGCAACCGATTTTCTGTCAAGCAAAAATTCGGGCGCCTGCGAAATAAACAATGGAAAAACCATCCTGATTTTGGGCTGTATCAGGAGACAAACATGTGCATACAGAACGCTTTTCGATCGTCAGGTGCCAAGACCCATGTCATGACGAGCCGGGGTTTGACTGCATAATTGGTTGTTGTACTGTTTTTATTTTTATTTTGCTCGAATTCAACCTCTAACGTTTAACCTCGGTTTCAAAGGGATAGGAATAAGCACCGGCGGTGTACGGTACACGCCCCCATAAAGTGTATCGACCGCTCGCATCTCAAGATCTCAAGGAGAGCCCGGGGTTCGACTCCCCACCGGTGCATACGACTTCCCCCTGCCTTCTTATTTTACTTCACCAAAATAATTCAACGCATTTAACCTCGGTTCATATGTATAGGAATGAACACCGGTGGTGTACCACACACGTAGTCCAGCAGGTATTATGCTTGATGGAGAGCCCAAGGTTTGACTTCCACTGGCCGGTGCATCCGGTCGCTCTCCCGTTGTTTCATTTTTATTTCTCCAAAGTTCAACTCATTAACCTCGGTTCCTATAGAGAGGAATAAGCACCGGTGGTGTAAGGTACACGCGTCATGTCCTTCCATGAACGCGTGAAACGTACCGAACGAGCCCGGGGTTCGACTCCCCGCCGGTGCATATCTCTCTTCTGTTTCTTTGTTTTTTTATTTTCCCCACAAGGCAATAACCTCCGTTTGAAAGGATAAGAATAAGCACCGGCGGTGTACGGTACACGCCTCCATAAAGTTCATTGATCACCCACATCTCAAGGAGAGCCGGGGTTCGACTCCCCGTCGGTGCATAGTTCCCATTCTCCCCCTTTTTATTTTTTTGCTTAAAGAATCAAAGCACTGAACTCGGTTCAATCGGACAGAAATGCGCATCGGTGGTGTACGGTACACGCGTCTTCTCCTTTCAAAATCGGGCAGTACCTCTACAGTCCCTGACGAGCCCTCGCCGGTGCATGGATCCCATTCTCTTCCTTTTTATGTTTTTGCCCCAAAAATCAAAGCACTAACCTCGGTTCAAAGGGATAGGAATAAGCACCGGTCGTGTACGGTACACGCGTCTTCTCCTTTCTCACGTACTCCACTGTCCGTGACGAGCCCGGGGTTCGACTCCCCGCCGGTGCATATCGCCCTGTCTTTTTTTTTCTTTCTTCTTCTCCATTGGCAACGCACTCGCCTCCGTTTGAAAGGATAAGAATACGCACCGGTGGCGTACGGTACACGCCTCCATAAAGTGCGTCGATCGCAGATATTTCAAGGAGAGCCCGGGGTTCGACTCCCCGCCGGTGCATGCCACTTCGCCTCCCGCGTTTTTCTTTTTATTTCACCCGGATTGAACGTACTAACCTCTCGTCAAAAGGATAGGAGTAAACACCGGTGGTGTACGGTATACACGTCATCTCCTTCCATGAACGGTCGAACCTTACTCAAAAAGCCCGGGGTTCGACCCCCGCCGGTGCATGGACGGCTGCCGCTTGCTTTTTGTTTTTATTTCACCAAATTCTCACTAACCCTGGGTTAAAGGGATACGAATAAGCACCGGTGGTGTGGTACACACGTCAGAGCAATGACCGAACATTTATCCACTCATGGCTAGCTCGGGGTTCGACTCCCCGCCGGTGCATCCCCTCCGTTTCTTCTTCCCCCCCCCCCCCCCCCCCCCTTAATTCAACGCACAAGGCCCGGTTTTAAGAGATAGGAATGGGCACTGATGGCGTACGGCACACGCGCCTAAGCCTTACATATTCAAAAAAATCCTGGAGTTTTTATGGCGAGCCCGGGGTTCGACTCCCCGCCGGTGCATGTTGGTCCTCTGTGTACTTATTTTGTTTCCTTTTCAACCGTACCCAATTAAACGGGGTTTAAAGGGATAGCAATACGCACCGGTGGTGTACGGTACACGCGTCGGCTCCTTTCGACCGTCAATTCGCTTTCATGACGAACCCGGGGTTCGACTCCCCACCGGTGCATGCTTCTCCGGCGTTTTATTTTTACTTCACCGGGATTAAACGTACTACAGCTCGTTTCAAAAGTTTGTACACCTTTCCAAAAATATAGCTGCTCCAATCATGCTTACAATTGTTTGCTGCGGCGTCGGCCCCACTCACCAACGTCATCGATGCAACACGGCGTTGTGACTCCACAACTGGCTCCCTCAGTTTCCTTCGTACTTCCACCGTTAACTACTACATCCATTGAATAAACTGTTTCATGCCTCAAAGCAACTATTACCGCGACCATACCAGACAGGAGGATGGCATATTTGGAGATCCAGTGCAATTTCGGCTTGCTTTCGTTGGTGGTTGTGGTACAGCTGGATTACTTGCTTCTTCTCAACGGAAATGTGCTTGTTGGTCCCCATGGGTGGTTGGATAAAGCTGAGTGCATCAAACGCACACGCGTCTCCACAGGCGAGACAAAGGAGCAAACAATTGTAAGCACGATTGGAGCAGCTATATTTTTGGAAAGGTGTACAAACTTTTGAAACGAACTGTAACCTCTCGTCAAAGGGATAGAAATAAGCACCGGTGGTGTACGGTACACACGTCAATGTAGTACGCCAAGCCAACTCACGTTTCACAAAGCCATTGGAGCCACCTCGTGGCTTTTTGGCGTTGCGCAAAAATAGCAGGCGAATGGCTCCACGGAGCCATATGAAGCCATTGATGTCATAATTTGGCGGGTGGAGCCATTCGGTGTGCACGTCAAAAAAGGTCAAAAAAGCCACGAGGTGGCTCCAATGGCTGTTGCGCAACCTGTCTATTAAAGTCAAGTTGAACTTGGACATAACTATAAGAATGTAATTCTTTTGCAGGATGTTAAGCTGACAAGTGTGGATATTACAAGGTATGCTCGCATCCATGTTATGTCTGAGCAAGCACCGAATTGGTTTAGAAAACGGCCTGATGTTGTTGAATTCTTGTACGAACACCTTGCTGCACAATGCAAACAGTACGGTATTCATTTCCCTTAGTTCAAATTTCTCAATATTTCTTTAGCTTGATTTGTCAGTGCCGGCGTGGTCCTTCAAATTGGTGCTCAAATCTCGTGAAGGCACTGTTCCGACCTCCAATTGGCCCACTGGAAGGTTTGGTTTCGTTCCAAATTGAAGGGATATGATTAATCAAAAATGTTGACAGCCCAGATCCATATCGTCGTCGATTGTGTGCAAGCCAACCGACTCGATCCTCGGATTCCTGGGAATGAAATCGTAGCAGGAGTCCTGTTTGACTTGGTAAGCGATTTTGTCCGTAAACAAAAATAGCGCCGACTTACTTTTTCTTGTCCTCGCAGTCTTCTCACTCGCGGAAACAATCAGTCGTCGAATGGGTGGTGCGGCTCCCGAGCGATATAGGCAGCCGGAGACTGCGCTTGCGGCAAGTAATTTATAGCGCTTGTAATTCCTTTCCAAGAAAATTCACTCAAAGCAAATTGGGGCCGAATAAAATGTACCACGAGTGTGAACCCAACTCAAGCGGCAGCTGTGGCTTCCTCTGTTTCACAGACCCATCAGCACAGAGACCAGCCACAGGAGATAAAAGTGGCGAAGGAAGTGGGTAAGGGTAAACAATGCAAGCAAGGCACTGCGTTCAGAACTTCAGCCCCGTCTTAAACCCGAAAGGCACCTAGAGGGCTAGGCCTTGATAGCCGGAGCTAGGTGCTTGCCTGTGCTAAGCCGGGGTAGCCTAGGTGGGCTCACAAAGGCGCACAACCGCTAGGGATCGCTAGACACCGCAGTGCCTATGTGAACCTGAAGAGTGGGGTACATTGGGAACCTGCTCTGAGGCGTGCAAAGAGAATGAAAGAAAGCAGGACGAGGGAGAGAAGTGGCCAGCAGGCATTCCTGGAAAGCTTAACGGACAGATGGTAACAGAGAATTAACAATACATGCGCAGGGTCGACCAGAAGCCTCACGAATTCATTGATCCCGCCTTGGGGACTGACCTGAACCTGCTGGCATAGGCTGGAGTGTGCCTAGATGCATAGGCGCACCAGCACATTGTAGGCATACACGACATAGATCACTCTCGCACTGCCTCGGCAGGCGGCAGGTCTAGGTAAACACGCACACATAGACATCGGATCAACTGATCTAGACCTTTCTCGCATGACATGGACAACTCGCCGGTCTAAGGACCAGCTGAACGCAGTGAGGAGGCTAAGATCAGGCTGCTCCTAGGCAGAATAGTTCCCGGCCTTCATGTTCCAAAGGCGTGCGGTATAAAACTCGACATGATAAATTACCACAGCTGGCCACTGGAATTGCTGGTGACGCTCCGAGAGGAATGCGATGTAGGAAGAAAGCGAGCGAGTGGCCGCAAAAACTTCCCATGGCTGACCAGCCGAAGCAGCAAAGGCGGCAAGAATCTCGAAATAGCAATTAAGTGGGCGAAAGAGAGAGGGAAATGATGGGAAATATTTCAGGGCCCGGGCATGCTCAGCAGGTGGAGCACAGGAGGGCAGGGAGGTATGTTCTTGGCGAGCAGCAAGTGGTGACAGAAGGCGATGCAGAGATCGAGGGAGGCCAGCGAGGCAATGAGAGAGTGCGACACGATATTCAGAATAATACGCTGGTCAACAAAGGGAAATAGCGCGGGCAGCAACTTCCCGAGAAACTGAGATGCTGCGCTAGAGCCAGTGAATTGCGGAATGACTGGTACTGCAGGCAAAATGCTGCTGTTGGTTCACTACAGCCAGAACCGCAGCAATGGAGGACCGACGAGATGGCCAATTTGATGCGAGGCACATTCGCTTGAGAGGAGGCACATGATGGAAAATCTGAGGCACATTCCCACACGTCCATTTATCTGTATTAGCCTAAAAATACCACTTTTGAGCAGTTAGGGAAAGCGCAGCGCGCCCTAACTGCAGGTATAAACTTAGGTTAGTGTTCGGGTTCCACTCTTTTCAGCACAGTGGCGCGCCATGATTGTATGGGACAGACTCAGATTTTGAGGTCGAGGACGATGTCACAACGGCGGTTGTGGAAAGGGTAGAAGATGAGCTGAGGACGATTTCGCGCCTTGGTGATTGTCGAAGTGGAGCTAAGGTCAATCAGAGGTACTCGCAAACCTTGTGGCGTTGTATTACGCGAAACAACGTCGAAAAACGCCGCAGCACACAGCGTCGCAACGGCATCAAGGATTTCTGACAACCGAAAGTTTACTTTTCTAACTTAGCGAAACCAGTGAGTGGTGGTAAGTTGTAATTTCCTAGGCATGGGGTAGACTAACTCATCTGATCTGCATGCTTTGCTAGAGCACTGTGCAATTCATGCTCTTGAACGACGTGGTCGATGTTTGGCCCACAAATGCGGGAACCCCGGAATGCTGAACAACGCTGACATCACAATTAATGTAAGATTCCTCTAATTCACGGTAATTGACGGTCTATTGTATCCCTTTTGATGAAGGGGTGCTCCTCGATCTTTATTTACCTCCGCTTGACGTTGCGTCTTCGGCACTCCCTGCCATGCTCCACCTACAGCGTCATGATAACGCTACTGCCTCAACACGATGGTCGGGCTGTGGCCATGTGGAACAATGGTGGAGCAGGAATTACCCCAACTACTGCCCATTACTGCTATTAATATTACCAGTACTAGGTTTCAGACAATCACTGTTAATTACCGTGAATTATCGGGGAAGAGAGGAATCTCACATTAGTTATGTCGGCGTTGTTCATCATTCCGGGGTTCCCGCATTTGTGGGCCAAACATCGACCACGTCGTTCAAGAGCATGAATTGCACAGTGCTCTAGCAAAGCATGCAGATCAGATGAGTTAGTCTACCCCATGTCTAGGAAATTACAACTTACCACCACTCACTGGGTTCGCTGAGTTAGAAAAGTAAACTTTCGGTTGTCAGAAATCCTTGATGCCGTTGCGACGCTGTGTGCTGCGGCGTTTTTCGGCGTTTTTTCGCGTAATACAACGCCACAAGGTTTGCGAGTACCTCTGATTGACCTTAGCTCCACTTCGACAATCACCAAGGCGTGAAATCATCCTCAGCTCATCTTCCACCCTTTCCACAACCGCCGTTGCGACATCGTCCTCGACCTCAAAATCTGAGTCTGTCCCAAACAATCGTGGCGCGCCACTGTGCTGAAAAGAGTGGAGCCCGACTCCTGTGCTATCAGAGGTAAATTAAATCGAGGAGCGCCACTCGATCAAAAACTAATCAAAAACCGGACAATCTCTTTGAAACGGCTATAGGTAATAAGTTGAGGTGAGGAGACAGGTATAATTCTCCGAGTCCATATATGCTATGGCCGTAAGTGGCCGTGGCGTAC